TCTGGGTCACCCGTGGAGATCACTGGGTCCCCACGATAGTCCATGGTTCAGGGAAGATCCGATACATGAAGATCACGAATGTCGGCGACAAGGTGCTGATCCTCCACCAGGACTTGTGGATCGGGATCTGACTGACCGGCGATCATGTCCCGCGACTGCCAGGTTTCATCTCAGTGGGATCCCGGCGCTATATGGAGTGGCAAAATCTTCGAAGCGACCGTGGATCCCCGATCTGCGGACTCGGATCCGGATGCGGAAGATCCGCCAAGGCCTGCGGTGGAGAGCCCCGAGTATTAGACTCTGCGCGGAATACTGCAACGACCAAGGCCGACGACGATCAAGTGTTTGAAGGGCGGATCAAGTGGAGATCAAGAGGACTCTGATCACCAGCCTGTGGATAATCCGCCGTCGAACAACCCGCCCCTGGATTGTCGACCGTTGGACGTGGCGTCGGTCGCAAGTGATGGGTCGGATCTGTCGTCTATCGCAGATGACGACTCTATGTCACATGTTGTAACGGTCGTGAGGGCGCTGGACGATCAGGATCCAGGCGTATCAGGTATTACAACAGCGGGTCTGCCCCCGGTCGAGGATCCAGTCGTGTAAACGGTATTGTCAGAGGAAGCCCCTGGCGGTGTAACTGGCGCAGATCAAGATTCGCCAGTTCAGGAAATTCAGGATTCGAAGGTGGCGATGTTGAAGGGTGATGGGTCGCACCCATCATCATTGATGGGTGTAGAATCTGGGACGAGCCATAAGTTGGGTGACCCGTTGGACCACAAGAACGCCACGTCTATGCCACAGAAAATGGACGAGGATCCGGCAGCTGTTTTGGAAGATCAACCGAACACATCGGACCTGGACCTCACTTGAGACTCGGATCAGGTTACGACGAATGTGTGTATTACCACGAAGGCAGCGATCTCTACGCTGAAGATGTCGACGGACAACTAGCGGTAATGCCTGAAGTCCCAGCGACGACGGAAGATGTGAGGATCGAGGACATCCAATTGTGCGGATCCGACAATCAGACGCCCGAAGAGATCGACCGACTCCGCCAGCGGATCTAGAAGTTCAGGCATCTCCTGATCGGCAAAGGAAATGCGCTCCCACCAGCGGCCCGAGGGGTTGTGTGTGATATTGATGTGGGAGGAGCTCGGCCGATCGCGCTCAAGTGTCGAAAGCTGCGGATCTAGTTCCGATAGAAATTGGCAGAGTTGATCAAGGGTTCCTGTCAGCTAAGATGATCAACCACTCAAGATCTCCATGGACATCGCCGATCGTCGCAATCATCAAGAAGAATGGCGTGGATATACGATTGTGCATTGATTATCGGTTGGTTAACAGTCTTACACAGCTGATGGTTTACCCGATGCCGCTGATCAACGATCTACTGGAGGATCTCGAGTCTACACTATGGTATTGCTCACTGGACATGGCGAGCGGATTCTGGGTGGTGAAGATGACGGATCGGGCCCGCCTGATCTCGGCCTTTATTTTCCCATTTGAACTCTTCGAGTGGAATCGGATGCCTCTTGGGCTGAAGAATGCGCCGCAGATCTACCAGCGGATGATCGACAATGCCCTGTATGGGTTCACTCGGATCCCGAAAATGGGAGATGATCTGGAGCATCTGGATGTATTCGAGGCCGGAGAACCCGAAGACCCGGGCAAACCATCGCTGTTAGGACGCAGGTCCTACATCGACGACATCTTAGTGCCAGCAGATAATTGGGATCAGCTATGCGACCGAGTCGAAGATCTGCTGGAGGCGTGCGACAAATGGAACTTGTCGATCAGCGTTGTCAAGAGTTTCTGGGCCATGCCCAAGGTGGAATATCTCGGTCACAAAGTATCGCACGACGGACTGGAGGTGAATCCGAAGGGTCTGTCGGCGCTGACGGATATCGGGTTTCCCGGATCCCTGCGTGCCATGCAATCCTATTTTGGGCAGCCTGAACTATTACAGTCGTCGCTTCATCGAAGATAACGCGGTTTATGCGTCTGTGCTGTATGAGTTGAGGGAGATCGACTATGCTGCGATGGAGAAGGGCATGAACCGAAGTCGGATCCAGCTAGCGCTAGCATCGGAATCCCCGGATCCAGACATATTGACTAAGGATCCGACGAGTCCGCAACCTTCGGATCCGAGCCCGCGGGGTCCGGATCCCGGACTTAGCGATCAAGATTCGAACCTAGCATCACGCCTGATTGTGTGAAGACGTCGAACCCCGAGAATGACGATCTTGCGGATCTGGATCCCAGATGGATCCATGCTCACAGATCCTTCAAGGTGCTAAAGGAGAAGATCGCGAAGAC